CACCCGGTATACCTTCTGTAACGCTGATCAGCTTGTTCTTCATAAAGGTGATGTTACCTGCGATATTAACAGAGAAATCACTGCTGATCTTTTGTGTCCAGGTAGCCATGATTTCCTGGCCCCAGTTATGTATCTCACCGCCATTCTTCAACTCATCAGGCAAACCCAATGTCCCAAGTTGGAGGTAAGTCATCATATCTTTTGTTCTCTTGTCGAAATAGTTGAATTCAACATGCAGGCGATTCTTCAATGCGTTAAACTCGATACCTATTTCCTTTGCACCAATTGTTTCCCACTTCAGATCAGGGTTAACCTTATATGCATCAGATTGTCCATAGGCCGGGTTTGCCCATCCCCAATAAGCTGTTGCCTGGTTAACACCTGGATAGAATGGATAGTCACCAGATACACCGTACGTACTTTGGTTACCTAATACACCCACTGATGCTCTCAACTTCAGGTAATCAAAGATCTTTTGCGTACTCATAAAATTTTCTCTGCCGATTTCCCAGGCAGCACCTACTGACCAGAATTGCTGGTTACGATTCTTCTCTGGAATCCTAGATGAAGCATCATTACGCAATGATGCATTCAAATAATACTTGTTTTGATAATTATAAAGAACCCTCGCAAGACCAGATACTGTGGTTCTCTCATACTGACCTGAATTAGCACCTCCTAATGGTACAGTTCCAAAGCCATTGTTTAGATACCAAAGGTTTGGATTGTTGGGAATAGGTACTGATGTTGCAGTTGTCCCCTGGTTAGACGTACCGCTTTGGCCATTGTATCCAAAATAGTAAGTAGTGAAACCTCCGGTGGCAGTCAAATTATGGTCACCAAACCTCTTCTTATAAGTCAGGATGTAATCCTGCTGATATTTTTTGTAATTACCTGTACCCTGGTAAACACTCGTTTTCGTACTATATAAATATGGAGTGTTATTCATCGGATCGTATGCATAATACAACGGAGTGTAAGTCCTGTTCTCGAGATAGCTTACATCCGCGTACCACGTTCCCCTGAAATTGAAATTCTTCAGGAAATTGAAATCGATGTACACATTACCTACATAACGATTTTCCTTATTGATCGTTTTATTCCAGGTATTTTCCAATTCAAGTATCGGGTTTACCACACCTGAATTCTGAAAAGCGGTAGCAAGACCGGAATAAAGATTCATATAAATGCTATCGGCACTATATGGATCTTTTACTTTGAAACTTTTTGTGTCAGGAGAAATATGCGGCATCACCTT